AGACAGAAAGGGAAAGAAATAGAAATCTGCCAGGATGTGTGGTCACCTCCTCATTCCTTCTGAGCTTGATCCTTTGGAAAGGAGTAGGAGAAAAAGAAGCCTGGAATGGAAGAAGCAAAGTACAAAGAACCTCACTTGTGTTAGCAAGGTTTTGAAGGTAATATACTCACTCTAATCTGCTGAGTCAGAATTATAACCAATAAAGTGAAGTTCTTAGATATATTTGTAATAATGAACGGAAAAGGTAATTTGTTGCATTCTCTTGAATATTACTTTCTCATCATAAACTTAAGAAGTAAATTTACTTCAGTCTCCTTTTTCTTGTTCTTGATTACACATTGAAACTTTTACTGCATTAGTGCAAACTATTCCTAGAGCTTCAGAGAAATGTTCTTGTTCATTTTCCTTTAGATTTCCTTAAATCCACATTGCCCTAATCTGATTTTATAAGCCTTTTTTTGTATGAAAGACTACCATAACTCAAATTATTTGACAAGCAGGAACACAGGACTAAACAAGGAAACAAAAAGATTAAAATTATCAAACTCTTCAAAATGCCCCATAAAGGGTGAGGTTTGGGAAGATTTAGGGTTTTTTCCAGAAATTAATTTTTAAAATTTATAATATCCTATATGAAATGAATATTTTTACAATAGTACCTTGACAGTCAGAAGAATTAAGTTATTTTGACACCAAGAGTTGAATCTGGTGCGACACTGAGAGTTTCCACCTCTGAGCATAGCAGAGGAATCTTTTCTCTCTTACTGAAAGAGCTGTTTTTCCTTCTAGACAAAATTCTCACATAAATTTCAATGTATCTTCTAATAAAATTGACACTGTCTCATATGAAATGTTTGAGTTTCACCCCATGATAAAATAAGAGCTTGCAAAGCATTTTTAGACAGCTCAGTTGAAGTATATCAGTATATGTGAATATGTTTGCTTGCAGCATGACTTTCTCCAGTCTCAATATTCAGACTGGGTTGTGCACTGTTTCTGAGCTGGGTGGGATTCATGCTAGTTTTAGCATTTGTTGGACAAGGAATTTATCTTAGCTTAACTGAAATAAAAGCTTTAGAAAGCCTTGTTTTCTCTGAAGAGCTATTGAACATGCCTGAGAAAGGCTTTGAAATGAAGGTAGAGACCCAAGTATTTAAAATAAGACTTGATGAACTAGAACTTTCTGATTCAAATTCGGCTTTGTCTTCTGGTGAACACAGCAGGAAAATGGCCCTGTAAATACGCTGCACAGAGATAATCTGCAAGCAAGATAGTGGAAGAGATTTATTTCTCCCATCTCACAGCAGGGACTTGTGCAACCAGAAGCAGGAGGAGCCCCCAGGGTAGCACACACTGCTCTGGACTGCCTCAGGCAGTGCATTACATCTGCCAAGGACCTGCCATCTACCTGGCTGCCACTGAAGAGCACAGACTGATTTTTTCACACTTATATGTTGTTTAAAAACAAAGTTTCCATCCATTTCTGTGCATTTTTATGCTCCAAAACAAAATCACAGTGATTGTTCTAGAAATGAAAATGCAGAACTTCCTCTTTCTTGATTATAGCTTCTCTTTGACCTATTACTCTTTTCTGTCTCAAGCAATTTTATAGTTTGGCACCTGTAATTCTGTTAATTGTCTTAAGCAAACAAGATTCCTGGTTCCACCTCTGAGTGCTGAACTAGAATCAGGTGACTCCCTAAAGCTAAAGCATTTTCCTATAGTTACCTTTTACTGAGAAGCACCTTTCCTGGGACAATGAGACATTTCTCAGAAGAGCTTCATAGTGCTGTCCATCAAATCAGATCAAATAATAAGAAAATTGTGGGGAAAAAGTTTAAATACTTGCATGTATTATTTATGTTTGGTGCTTTTATTTTATAATAGTTACATAAATATGTAGGGTAAATGTCTTGATTCTGATAAACTCTGCAAACTCCTGTAGTTCAAAATGCTTATATATTCCATGCAAAATTCTCTTTAGTGGCCAATAAGAAAATAATAAAAACATGGTTTAAAGTTTTACTGGACCTTTCATCCAAGAGTCTCCAAAGGGCTGCAGAGATATGTGCATAGTAACATTTTAATCTTAAAGCTAAGGAAATGAAAGGCTAGGAAGATTAAAGCCCAAACCTTTAAAGATGCCTTTGGAATTAACTGGAGCCTTTGAAAACTTTTCAGGGTCTACATCTATGTGACTTATCCAAGGATGCCCCCTTCACATAGATGGAAAATAAAATACAGGTGTATTTAATTACTTTTTCATTACTTCAAGGCCACCAAAGATGAATTACACATACAGAACAAGGGTAGCTAAATCCCTTCATGCATTTCAGAGAAAAGATCTTACACCATTAAATATATACAGTGTAAAGTACATTCTTGTTTTTCATTGCACTTGGAGAGCCCTCTAAATGTGCAGGAATTGCCATTACAGGTACTGATCATGTGTCTGTGCAGATGAGTGTGTACTGCACATGCACTCAGCCCCAGGGACTTATTTGCACAGTGGAAGGCTGTCAGATGATGAAGATTTTGACCATTAAAACCTGGGAAACGAGCTTTCCTATCTAGAGAGTAGAAAAAAGGCTGCTTATTTAGAAGGTAGAGTCCTGAAAGGAGTTGTCTGAAGGTGGATGATATGAATATATCCCTCAAAAGATCCACATCCTGAACCAAGTCCAGCTGCTTAGATGCTTCATTTAAGTTCCATGCTGACACAGGGAATAGTCTCAGGAAAAAAGGAAAGGAAGAGGAACAGGATTTGAGTTTCAGAAGTTTACAGATATTTAGAAGTCTATACTTCATAACATGCTGATGTGGTTTATGCCAGTGATATTGACTAAGTGGGATCCCACTTTGTTGAAAACCATCACTATTTTTAAGAGTCTAAGGTCAAATTTTAAAGGCATTTTTGTATTTTATTTAACATTCTGGTATTAAATATTCAGCTATCAAGTCAAATGCTTACCAGAAGAATGAAATTTATATTTGACTTCCACACTTCTCATTGTAATTTTTGTATGGATTTTAGATATATATAAGCATGCAGTGCAAAAGAGAATTTTACCCTACAGGATTAAGCAAAAATATTTTTATTATTAAATGTCTGCATTCATTTCAGATTTTTTTCTTTTAATTTCCAAAATGGTAACATTTCTCATCTTGATGCTTTGAAGAAAATATTGACCTAGAAGAGTACAGCATACTTTAAAAATTACAGGTATGAAGAAAATTGGAATGCAAAAGAAACCTCCTGGGTGAGATTATTCACCAGAAAATGCAGAAAACCTAAATAGATCATAATTTTTGAAAGAGGAAGAGCCCTGGAGCAGGTGAGATTTGCATACTAATTAGAGACAAAGTTTATTCAGGCTCACAGGCCAATCTATCTTCCATCACTAGGCAGCATCTGTTTTAGAACACACTAGCCCTGTTTTAGATGATTCAACTCCTTTTAGTTGGCTGCTGGTGTTATAAAAGCTGAAATATTTTTCAGCTTTCATTATAAATTTTTGCGTTTGGGGGTTTACAATTCAGTGAGTAATACTTTTCTCATGTTTAAGGTAATTCTCTTTTGAAGTTATTTTTAATGAAAAAAATAATTTCACCATTTTTCAGTTGTGTTAAAAAAGTTTGTCTAATGGATGTAATGTGGAAAACAGTTGAAAATTAACCACTGACAAAACAAAATATAGACTATCCAATATTAATAAAAGCAAAAATATACAGGAATGGAAGAGATCTTAAAGCAGAAAACACGTTAATAAGTCACCCTTGCCTAATAATTTAACTGCCTTTCACTTACCACACTCATTATTCACCATCTCCCATATGATGCCCCACTCCTCCTTTGTATTATTAATCATTCTGCCTATATGAGAAAATTTCACAAGCACACTCACAATATTTACCAATATCAACAGTGGTGTTATTATACAAAAAAATCTCAGGACCATTTCCACAAAAGCTTCAAAAGTCTCTGCAGCACAATACTTGCCAATTTGACACACCTGTCATGTGCATTTGCAAATTCCTTGTCTTCTTTATTATTCTTTTTACTATGCCCTATGTTTTTTCCAGCCTTGTACTTGATGTACATATTAGCTTCCACAGCAATTTTAATATTTAAAAATATGCATTATTTTTGGACATTCTGCATGTCTGGATACTATCCTGATTTGATTGTAATGAAAATATTAAGAGGAAAATATGGGTTCAAATGTCTCAAAGAGAGTATGTAGAAAACCTGACGTACGTACACGAATTACTTGTGAACTCAATTCAAACCTTGTGTGCAGTCTCAAAGGAAGAAAATATGTCAAAAAAAACAAAAATAATGAAAGAAATTACAGTGTCAGTTACTTTAATTCATCATTTTAATTTCATTAAAATTAAATACAAGGTACAGGAATATTCTACTGCTGTCATGAATTCTTTTCCCAGACCAGAGCTTAGTTACTTACAAAAAAATACAAGCAATTTTTTCTTAGTCATAAAGTACTTGTACTGTGAAAACCACCTTTCATCAGTAACACACATGTATGAGATCCACCTGGAACTGTTTGATCAGTCCTCCAATTTTAAACAAATATGAAGCCTAGGGCTATCATGGTGGTTCTTTTCCTAGATGGGCTTTATGTTTCTAGCTGATTTTTTTTTTCCCAATGACATTTGAAGGCTATGGTCTTCATTCTCTATTTCCATCTGTTCAGTCAAAGACAAATGACAGCTCTAATTTGAGCATATTTGGCAAATTTACTTGACTCCTGCCTACTTTCTCAGAGATGATATTCACTCTTTTGCACCCAGCCTTAGCAGACATGGCCTTCTTACCTCCTAGAGAAAAGGAAAATCACTTTCCCTTACCTCTTAAAAAAAGGGATTATGCCAGAACTACTCGAATCAAAGCATTTGTTGTCTTTACTGGACTTGTATTCTGAACCAGAAAAGTAATAGCAATAATAGATTCGGTTGTGCCGTTCAATCTGTCACCTTACCTTGCCTTCATCAAGCTGACTTTATGGCCAAAAAATCCACTATGCAGTCTGTCCCACTCCCTCTTGAAGAGCAGTTTCATCAAATACAGGTTATTCCATACATCAGTCAAATCTCTATGTAAAAGTAAAGGGAATTTCACTCCAGTAAGGCTTGAGACTCATCTTTCTCAAGTACTGAAATACAATGCTGTATTACTGCACCATTTCTTAGAAGAGCATAAGAATGCTGTGCTTCAGAAAACACAGATGTGAGCAAGACAATGCAAATCTTTATAGCTATAACGAGGATGGCGATTACCTCAGTACAGCTAATGTGAAAAATGTTCCTTCTATACAAAGCCACGTAGTTTGAGACAGCTGTAGCAATTAATCTTGAGACATGATGCCATTCCCAAAATTCTACTTTGTAAGAGTTATGGACATTCTTATTTACTTTAGTTTGGCATAAGAAAAATTAATTTGGCCAGTGGATCTCTTGCTACACATACTGATCCTGGTATAAGTCTGTCTAGAAAAGAAGCAGCTTCAGGCAGGAGGATCATTGCCATGCAGCCAAAACCATGGGCTCTCAGATGTTAACAAAAAGCTTTCCTTTAACTAACCCAGAATGAGGATTTACTCTTTCTCTCTCTCTTTCTGTCATGTCTAACACTTGTCTCTACGAGGCTTGTTTTACAGCTGTGAATAAATGTTCACCTACACCCACCAGCCAGGCTCCCGAGCAGCGCGGCTGCCTCGCAGCATGCCAGCAGCAGAGAGCAGGATGATGCAGGGGCGACGAGCACAGCGTGCAGAGATCCCGCAGTGATGCTCAGCTGCTGCACTGGGGGACACAATTTCCCTCTCTCACAAGTAGTACAAAGAATGGCCAGGGGAAATAGGACAGGACCCAGCTTTCCTGGCAGTTTCCAAATGTGGTAATAACTCCTTGGCTACTGGCAGCAAAAGGAATTTTTGAACAGCCCTCTGGCACAGAGAAACTCTTCAAGGAGCGTGAAGATAACTATACGCCCTTTTACACAAATGTCATGCACAACTGTTGTGAATGAATGCCAGGTATGAAGCAAATGTTTTCTTATGACTGGTATTACATTTCTTCCTCAGTTTTCAAAGTGGTCTCTGGATATTCTCCATTCTTAAGGGTAATTTCCAGTCACTGCATAATCTTCATTAGAGAACCATAAAGAAACTATTACCCCTACAATGAATCCAAGTATAACATTAATGAATTAAGTTCCATTACTTCAAAAAATCCTATAACTATACTCCAAGTTTTAAATACAAATAGCAAAAAAAAAAGCCTGTCCATTACATTTATTTATTTATTTATTTATTTATTTCATAACATGGTAATGATGTTCAAAGGCATAACAGAATTAGACATTACCATGAATGTTAAACTTCTGAATAACAGAGTTTCAGTACTTATAAATCACAAATTAATTTTTCCTTGCTGAGAAATACTCATATTTTTGATGGCAGAATTTAATTAATGTTGTCCTAAATTCCTGAATGAGATATTGCTGGTATTGTTGCTATTATGAAGCAAAACAACTAACATTGATAACATTCTGTATTTCCAATCTTTTACAAAAGTGTGTGATCCCAAAAGGACAGAAAGGAGTAATAAACAGCATAGACAAATATATAACAGAGAAAATATAATCTACTCATATAATGTTGAATTTCAAAGGGGCTGCCTATAACATTTCACAAACCTGAAAATGTATTGTATTATTCATTACCTCAATGTAATTACAGAATTATGAAAGGAAATCAGAAGAGACCTCAAAAAGACTATGCCTTAACCTGTGATGTCTGGTCCTGAGATTAGTCTCATTATGTAATCAATGAGGTTTGCAAATGGAAGAATAGACAAAATTTTCCTTATATTACTAACAATATTTTTTCCTCAAAAATATGACAAAAACCACCATAAGTCAACTTTGTATTTTAAGTATGGAAATCCACATTAACTACTTGTGCACAAGCAGCAGCCAGCCATGATTCATGACTCCTTTTTATGCAGAATAAATTATCTTGCTTCAGCTTTCTCGCCCAATGGTATTAACTGTTGTATGATCTAATTAATTTATTCTGTACAATAACAGATCTAGTTATTAAATACAGGTTATAGAAATGTACAAAAAATGAGGTGTCACAGATAGAAAACAAATTAAATGAAGTTTTAGTTATTAAACAGAGGAAACAGTATAACAATCAAAGAGATGGCAAAAGTCAGGTTACTTACCTTAAAAATGTACAGCCTTCCAAAAAGGAAAAAAGGCACACACGATGCAGTCTGCATTTTTTTTTTAGTTGGCTGAAAATTACTACTTAGCTAAGTGAATATTTTTCATGAGGATTGGGCTGACTGATATTAAATGAGAGGAATTACCTTGATAAAGTATTAAGTAAAGATTTTCAAATGCATGATGTCAGGAGCTAAGAAAGTACAACAATGCTAACAAATTAATACAAACACGATTAGTTTTATAAAGTAACATATTTTAACTTCGAGTTATTTCCTGACATATTTAGAGATGATGAGCACAGTCAGCACCAAGTCAAGTCAATAGCATCACAGTTCATCACAGTTTTTTATTATTATCATTTCTGAAAGTCCTACTCTACTCCTCTAGCAGAAAATTTACTCTGTAGCTCATTCCACACCCAGCACTGCAATGCACAGCATTTGTACCACCTAATAAACCCAGTGCTGCAATAGTATGGATGGGTAACCACAGGACACATCAAATTAAGTTTAAGAAACTGTTTCTAAACAGTCTACTCTATTTATTGTTTGCATTTCAATGGCAAAGAGATATAGTGATGTCTACTAGTAGTTCTGTAGTTTCCTAATATAGCCCTACAAAATATTTAAACCAAGATACTAAGTAGTTTATGCTACTTTGCTAAATCTAAACAATCTATATCAAATCAACATAGAAAGAAAATTTCTGAAAGTTCATACTGCTGTATATTTCATTGAGAATCCCTGATTCACAACAGATATCCTAATCATTCATGCAAATTACTAGTTATAATCATCAGTGCAATTTAAGCAATGAACTTCTTTTATAAATGACACAAAATGAAATGGAAAACTCAATCCTGAGCTTGTAAATGTCAAGTGCAATTTTCTTCCATGTCAGACACAATTACAGATTCTGTGTATGCAAAGAATTTGCCACAAACATAATCCACTTTTGTGGTGGTGTAAAATGCAATGATGTTCAGCACTAATAAATAAATACATTAAAAGATACAGTTATATTAAATTTAGGTTCCACAGTGGGCCAGATCTAGCATGGGAGTAAATCAATAGAACTCTATAGGAGCTAAGCTATTTCTGAAAATTTGCTCTGGATCTGGCTCTTGAAATAATTTTTTTTAATGATTAAGTAAAGTATTGCACATATAAGACATTGATTTTTGTCATTGATTTTGTGCTGGCATTTGAGCCAAGCCTCAAAAAGCTTGAACATTTTATGTATTTACAGCTGTCTGCTGGCAAGGAATAATTCATTCATTCCAAATGAAACATGTTCCTGAAGCTTATAAAACCAGCATTTTTCTAGACTGGATTTACAAACAGATTTTTCAAATAAAAAGTTAGAAAATGTGCTTTAAATCATTGAAACAAAAGCTGAAATCTGTTTCTTGATTTTTTTTTTTCTGTCTTGTCAAACAGATAAGATACATATTGATTATATTTGCCTCCCAAGAGAGCTGTTCCATCAGCAGAGAGTGAAGATCAATGATGAGCCATCATCTCATAACAAAATATTTCCAGTGACAAAAAGAAGCTTATTGTTTAGTATTTTTGGTTAAATATGGACACAGGAAAATTTTGTTTGCTTGTCATTGTGTTCTTTCCTAATTAGACCAATCCAACCATCCTTACACAGGGAGAGCAGTCTCCCTTTTGGCTGATCTGAGGCAACTTCAGACATGGGCCCAGCATGAGTAGAACATTTGATTCATTTCCTTTGATTCATTTCCAAGCCTCTCCTTTGTCACACTCTACCAACTAAAAGCTCTTAGGTGTACATAAGAGAATATCAGCCTTACAGAGACCACTGCCTATTTATTTAAACTGCTCAGCTCCCCCAAGTCTCAACCAGATAATGTCTTATTCCAGAAGAAAAAGCTTCTTTTCCCTCTCTTTCAGAGCACATATTCACCAATGTAAAATAGGCAATATTGCTACCTATAAGTGCTTTGCCAAAAATGAAACATAGAGTGGAGAAATCAGTTATTCCACATGTTCCAGCCCTTTATTTTCTCTTCCTACCAGTTTGAGTGGCCTTTGGCTGAGCAAAACATCCAGAATGGATTTAATATGTTTACTAATATTGGCGGTTACCTTTTCAACATATCTGTGGACAACTTTGTGGCAGCGGTTGAAAGCACAGATATTAAAACATTTGCTTTTAAATCTTAGAATGATGGGTAACAACCTATGAATCACAAGCAAGAAATTTTGATGATGGAGGGCTTTCCTGGAGGTTTAGTTCCATTTCAGGCATGGGAAAAAAACCCCCCAAAAAACCAAAAAACCCCAAGGCAGAGAACGGCACAGTTCAAAAGCATTATAACAACCAGGAGAGTCAATATATGTAGACTGAGTTGCAAATCCAGCTCTGTCCCTAATGAAAACTAAGAGTATTTAGTAAACACAAAATGGGGTTAGCATTCAAGCTTTAGATTGATTGAAAACTCCAGCAAATCATCTTCAAAGGCACTGTTTACAGAAACTCTCATGACAAAAGCAGTGAATCCAAATCTTGGATCCTCTGCTACGTGTCTCTTCATTGGTGAAGTAACTAACAAGTATTCATTGGTAACACAAAACAAGGACCTTTTGTGCACTTTTTCATAAACATTTAAAAGAACAACAGGGAATGTTTATACCACTCTACTGTCACCCACAAGTTTTATTAATCTCATGCTATCATTATTATTCTGTAGCCTGACTGTACACCATTCATTTTTGAATCACCACACAGAGGCAGATTCTTTCAATGTAACATTTTGATATATTAAAAGCTCAAAGATTTTAAAAGACTGACTAACAGCCACATTCTGGCAACAAACATGCCTTTTTCTAGCATAGAAGAGAGTTCAGGAAAAGCTGCCTTTTAAGATATTTAAGGATCCTGCCAACATGAGAGTATTAACAGCACC